TCAATAAAAACTTACAGGCATTGGTTTTGAGTTAGCAAAATCATGCTAGTTAGCAAAGTTAGCAAAATCATGCACACTTCTTGCACAGCAAGAAGCAAAAAGCTGTGAAACAGCTCACACCTCTTTTTCACATGTTGCTCTGCCCCTTCAAGAAGATGAAGAGCACGGTTTGAACGTTAAGTGAAGCTTCCTTCCCTGTCTTGAAAAGGGTCTCCAAAGTTTCTTCTATTTTTCCATTTGTGCTCTCAGCATTGCAAAAGAACAGAGGGATCGTATGGAATACAGCTGGTGCACTGTTTGCATTTTGATGCATTACGTGTGAGTTCGCAGATCCCTCGTTCAGCATAAAGCACTGCTGCAAAGCACGGGATCTGCACGTGGGCTGTGGGAGATGGGTCGGCTCGTCGTTCCATCACACACCAAAATGCAACAACACACAGCTTTCTGCATCTCAGCTCACGCTGAATGCGACGTTAGAACGGAAAAAAACAACCACATGAAGCTGAACAGCTCTTCTGCTTCCTCTGAGTGTGAAAGATAAGTAAGGCTGTTCCCTCGGTTCAGAAGTGTGTTCTGATGTTGCCAGGCTGCCCAGCTTACTGCTTTCTCATAAGACATTTTTCCTGACGGAAAGGATTCTTTGAAAAATTCACAGGAATATGAAAGGATTAAGAGTACGAAATTTGTGTAACAGAGATGAAGGGATTTTTAGATGCTCAGTAAGAGCTGCAGCCTGTTTACTTTTTACTCAAAGAATTTAGCTCAAAATCTTGCCTGGAGAAGTTCTGTTAAGGATTCGGCTCGCAGCTGATGCAGGGAAGGAAGAAGCTTCAATACATGCAGAAATAGGGTCAGCAAAGCCTAGCAAACACTAGGACAAGGGATGCTTCCTCCCTCCCTGGAGACACAAGGCCAGGCTGGACGGGGCTGTGAGCAACCTGGTCGAGTGGGATATGTCCCCGCCTACAGCACGGGGTTGGAACTGGATGATCTCAATGGTCCCTTCCAACCCAAACCATTCTACTATTCTAAGAAAACTGCACCTTGTTGCAGAAACCTGGCTCTGGGTGAAGCCATAACACCGAGGGAAGCCAATTGATCTCCCACATCTCCCGTACTGAGATCTGTCCTGACCATCACGAGGCCCAGGGTTTACCTACGGGTGAACAGCATCATTTCCATCCTTCACATCCTAGGGGAAACAGAACTTGCTGCAAAATTAAAGAACATGGCATGACATATACAATAGCCACCATTAACATCATATTTATTGTTATTTAGTTGCTCAGTAAAACATATACAGATATGTACAATATGCATGAATACAGAAGACTGCACTTTACATATTTAAAAAAAAAAAAGAAAGAAAAATAACACTCAGTTTCATGAGCTATTGTCACAGTCTTCCAACCAAGCATTTAAGAAATGAATTTAACAAGAATCCCAAAACAAAAAAAAAAAAAAAGAAGAAGAAAAAAAAAGAGTACAGGATTGCCTAACACACAGCAGAGTCAAGTTTCCATATTTTACATGTGCAATAACATTTTTCAGAAGAGTTTGCTATGCAGTACGGATTACCAGTGTTTTGATTTTTATTTATTTTTTCTTTTCCATGAACCAAATTCGGTATAAAGAAATCACATCCTTTTGCTTAAGGCTGTTTTAAAGCTGTAATATTCTTGGGTAGTGAATAGTGATAAAGTTATAACTGCTGGAAATCACAGCCTGCAGTTTCATCAGTCAGAATCTATGAGCGGATGGACTCAAACCAACAATTTTAATAGAGAATTTCTAAGACAAAATTAGACTATTTCCTCCATTAGCCTTAAGCAATAAAGGAGAAACAATTCTATAAAAATGGGTTATGCTCTTATACACCATCCATCGAACAGCTGTGAATCTAGCATTTGAGACAACCTCACACTGCAGCTTCAAAAAAAATAATCCAGATGTACCAATTCTGGGGGTTTTTTGTCTGCTTTCCCCACCCATCACCCAACTCCTTCCTCCTTCCCAACAGCACAGCCAACACACCACGTTTCAGCCTCCCATGACGTGTGGTCATGTCATGCCTCCCTTCTTTAAGGAACACGCCAACATCTGGCCTTGGTGGTGGTGCCTGGAAGCTGGCAGACTGATTTCCTGCACTGGAAGGGCCAACCAGCCTCAGAGAGACCACGTCTGAAAGCAGAATCCAAGAAAGCGCCCTCAAAACGGCCCTGATGGCTTCGATGTTCATTTCTTCCCACCCAAACACACCTTACCTTTTTGATGAAATTCCCTGTAACTAAATAAAAATGAGCCCGAGCCCTCTCTCACTGAGGCTCTAACAGCTGAACTAGAACAGCAGAGAACTTACTAACCCCATGGAAAAAAGATTCTGGAGAAAATTCTCAGGAATTTTCCTATTCCATCCTTTTTTTTTTTTTTTTTTTTTTGGCCAAAAGACATCACTCCTCGCAATTCAGATGCAAAAGATGTATTTCTCAGTTTGCCACCATGCTTTAAATTAAAGTACGGATTTTCTTTTAACATACACCAAAAAGGACCAGCAGACGGGGCCAGGAGGAAATGGAGCCTCCAAGGCCAAGAACCAGATGATGGGCAGCTGCCAACCTCCCACCTCAAGCAGCTCCTACAGCACAGGTCTGTGTGAGAACTGAAGATGCTGGGCAAGGCAGAAGAGGTTTTTCAGAATACAAAGGCTGCTCCGAAAGTAATGCCTCCTATTTATTCCCACAGAAACTACAATAGATACGCTATCTGATGGAGCAAATTCTCAACTTCAAAATACTATTTTTTCAACGTGGGCACCACCATTGCCAGTGATGAACAAGAATCTGCACGCCACGCTCATCAACATCTCACTGCCAGCAGGAGTGACCCACTGCTGCTGTGCTGAAACTCACCACCCACCCCTCACTGTGCTCACATCCACTGCTGGGTCTCCATAAACGTTCAGCAAGCGTCAATGAATGTCAATGGGGGCCATTTTTTCCACATGGAGGAATTCCATTCCACAGCTTTTCTTCATATGCACTTCCATGTCAGACGTCATTTGTCAGCCTGCCCCTCTGCTGCCATCTGTCACACAGCAGCAGAATTAACGGGATATTTGTGGAAGGTCCAACCTCCACTGCTGTACCAACTTCCACTTCTGATGGCACGGGCCAACATCATAAAACTGGAGGCATTACTTTCAGAGCAGCCCTCTTAAATGCGAGGCCATTATTTTAGCTATGGTGATATATTTTCTATATGTTAAAAAAAAAATAACGCATTCAGGGTTAAATTAATGGAGAAAATGAGAACAGTAAAATTACCACAGGCAAAACAAGCTTTTGTCAGAGCTCCAACCTGTGCTGTCTGTACCAAACACACCAGGCTATGGGCATGAAATTATCCTCGTCCTGGTCAGCATATGTACCGATTCTGTTCTGATCTTTGGCAAAAAGAAAACCATAGAAATGCACACCAGCACTGGCATTGCTGACATCTGCCCCAGCAGAGCTGCCACCTGGTCTTTTTGCTCAGTCAGTAATGTCACTTGTGTTCAGCAAGGTTGAATGTACAGAAGGTTAGCAATAGGATTGCACTTAACCGTATTATTTAGCAAAGCAATACGGACATAAGGCCCACAGGAAGGCTGACCACTCTAACTCCTCACTACCTGCAAACCCTACCTGCCCATCTCCCACTGCACTGCCCCAGGGGGCTGACAGAACAGCCCCAGTGCAGAGACCCCATCCTCTCCTCATCTCCTCTGATTTAAAACCCTCAGAATTCTGCTGTTTTTATGGGCTTGTTTCCAATTTGTACTCCTATAACCAAGTGGAAAAATAAGTCCTCAAAGAACGAGAACAACTCCAGGATAGAAGCAGAGCTGCAGAGAGCAAACCAGAAAGGAAGGATGCTGAAAACCAACGGAATCAATGCACTGCTACTTACAGGAGGATTTCTCTTTAAAAGAGATTTGAAGCGTTCGATCCAGCATTCATTGAAAGGTCTCTTCCTGGTAGCACAGGGTGTGCATCCCTGACCTGAGGAAGCCTGAAAAACCTGTTCTGAATGCAGCAGGAAAAACTAAAAACAAAGAAGCAAGCCATCAGGCCTGAGCGATGGTACAGGAATGCCATCAGACCATGAACTCTTCCTAAATTTTTAGCTGTAAGTGCTGAAAGACAGTATCATATGTCCAGGCATGTGCTTTGCTGGGTTTACTCCAAGACACACCTAGCTTGAACAAGTATAAGCTGAAATGAAAAGATGAGAACTGAGGCACTAATCCACCAAAGCACTCTTCCACGCTTCACTGGATGCAGAAGTCCCACTCAGTTCAGCATATCCTTAAGTGATTTGCTAGACTGCATTTAAAGTTAAACACGTATTTTAGTGAACTGGGACTTAACAAATCACAGTCTTCCAGAGTGGGCAACGATAATTGTTATTCAACCTGGAGATATTTTATTGCAGTTCCAGGGAAAAGCTCCAAACTTTCAGTAGCACATACCTACAAAGGTACAAAACGTGGCATGTTCTGGTTCCAAACCAAGTGCGTGTGAGGTGGTTCCAGTGAATTGCTTCAGCATAGGCAAAAATCCTCACCCTAGTGACAGCTCCAGCTTCAATGAAAAGTAAAGCAATATTAAAAATCAAGGTCCCCAACCCTCCATTTTTTCCAAAGTCAAGTCACTGACCACAACCATAACGGGAAATCAATCCATGCATGGTTAATAAGAGCACATTCAAATAACAAGAAATCCTGCCTTCCAAAACACTGTGAATCATTCTGAAGCCATATATGATCAAGAGTGAGAATTTCAGACAGTGCTGTGGCCATTAGCATGGTAGGCAGAACTCCCTCCCCACTGATGTCTACTGAAAGCCAGACTTCAAAATAATTAAAGGCCCGGCACAATCATCTAAAAATACAAAGCAGTCTTCAAATTCCATCCCTTGAGAAGGGACACATTTTGTGAATTCATGAGAGAAGCAATGAATAACTCAAGAGAGGCTGACTCTTATTTCATAGCAAAAACGTAACTCCCCAGTGATGCTACTGAGCTTTGGGGAGCAGAGGAAGCCAGGCTGGCCTGAGCAAGGGTGGGACTGCTCACACTCCCTGTAAACAGAGGATATGCAAATAATAGACAGCTTTACGTAAAGCCACAGGAGTGTCAGATCACCGTGCCATTTGTGTTTTTATCTGGTTTGCTTCCAGCTTTCTTCTCCAATGAGTATTATCTACCGAGACCAGGAAAGCGTGGTTTTCCTTTTATTGTGTTCATCTAACAACAGCGTTCTTCACATGCATGGCAAAAATGGAGCCCAGCCTAAGTTTGGAATGGTCTAACCTGGGGTTTCCCGGTCCTGGCAGATCAGGAAGTGCTGACCTTGGGCACAGGGCCCTTGGTGTAGGCTGTCTCCAATCATCCACCTACTGTGACCACACTGGGACAGCTGCCACTGCAGCTAGGGTGGCTCCCACAGACAAGAGCATCACACCTCTGATCAACAGCATCTTCCTTCAGCTATAATGGGGAAAAAAATGGGAGCTGCGCTGCCATGCAGCTTCACAGTGGCTTTGGGAACTCCAGCTGGATGCTGGGCCCAGGCCCAACCCCATAGCAGAGCACACTTGTTGGGCCAGGACACTGCATTGCTCGTAGCCTGCAGAGCAGAAGGGGCTCAGTGCCTTTGGGGGATTGTTTTTTTCTCCAGCAGTTATAAAATAAAATGACAGCTTTGGGAACACCACCAGGAACACAGCATGCCTGGGAACATGTGCACCCCTTGCTCCTCAAAGTGAGAGGCAGAGGAAGAAAATGCTGCTGCAACCTGGGTGTTTGGTGGAGGAGATAATGACTATTCGTTATTAGGTAAACTTCCTGTTAGAGCTATTTAGGGAATCATCTGTGTACCTTCCCAGGCCATGCCTGAACCAGCCCAGTCATGACAGAGTTCCGTATCTGCGTTTCACAAAGGCAAACAAACAAACCCCTGTCCTCACCTCGCAGAGAGATGGGGAGCAAATGAGGGAGGGAGGTGCAGGCTGAGCATAATTCATAACAAACCTTCATTTTCTGAGGAAAGGATCACTGTCTGAACGTTCAGAAGAGCATTAATCGTTTGGTTTGGATGTGACTGGCAAAAGCTGGGTGTCAATACATAACATAATGATGACAATTTCATTTAACCGGCGTTTATTCCTGAACTGCTGTTCTTCAGGATTAACCATCGTAATAAGCACTGAGCAAAGCAAAACAAAAGAAAAAAAAAGCAATGAAGAAAAGGAGGAGGAGGAGAAGTAGCATCTTTGTCTTATTATGACATACGTGACTTGGACATACGCTGAGATGAAAAGGGAAAAGGCTTCATCTATAAATGTATGCCAAGATTACAGAATAATGGGAAAAAGTGGTCTAGCAGGAAAATCTTAAGCAAAAGTGTGCTAACTGCAGAAGGGTTAACACTGGTAACATACTGTGGCAGAAGATTAAAAAAAAGTTGAGGTTTACTTTAAATTAACCCTTTCCAGTCCATATGCCACTAAGCAGGTACCAACCTAGAAAAATAGTCCACCTAGCAGTAGCGGCCCTTTGAAATTAAAAAGAGGAAAAAAAATAATTTCTTTTGTTCAAGTCAGGGCGGCCACAAAAGTCCCAAATCTGTTGGAGATGTCCGAGTGCAGGGACCTCCATGTCGGCACCGCAGTCCGGCCCTTCGCCTCGCCCACGTCGTCCGTGCAGTGCACCGAGAGGCACTGCAAGTGGCTGCCAGTCTGCGCCGCGGCCGACGTCTTGCTCGGGGGAAGGTCGTGGGCTAGAAAGGGTTCACAGAGAGAGCGTTATGAGAACCGTGCAGTGCAACATGCCAGCGCTCACAGCACACACAGCGACAGCATCCCAAAGCAGGCGGGATGCCCCCGCTCGCTGCCCCTCCCCGCACCGCGTCCCCATGGAATTCCTTGCTCTCTCCTTCGCATGCACCATTTAAAGCAAGCTTTCAGCGTGTCCGAATGTTCTGGATTTGCACAGCTAGCTGTGCAGGTTCTATTGCACACCTCAGTGCCACCCACCAGCTCGCAGCACTCCGAGTTGTTCATCGCCATCTCCTATAGAACAGGATTCCTGGTTCAGCAGTGGAATACCGTGACAGCACCCTCTTCCTCAATGAAATCCATCTATTCTTGATCTCTCCTCCACTGCTCTTAGTCACATCGTCACACACAAAATGAAAAACCCCAAGTTTCAGCCCTCGCCTTGTGAAGTCTGCGCATTTCCCTATGCACCCTTCCATAGGGTCCATTCCACAGCCTCCAAGCAGGACACACCGTGACACACGACTGCCAATGGCTGGGTGCCACAGGGCAGCCTGTTCCCTCTTGCCATCATGCTGGCATGGCCTGGAAGAAGAAAGCGTTCTTGAAGATAACGGTCCCAGGAGCACCTCAGCTGCTGTCGGGTGTCCAAACCACACCAGCAACCAGGAGGGCTTCTGTGGGACCAAACACTGCCAGTAAACGGAGCAACAGCCCGAGTCGGGGCCAGAAACAGCATCCTGACAGGCAGCCTGCATTTTCTCTATTTCACCACTGCATTCATGTTCACCCAGGGGATGAAGAGTTACGAGCAGCACAAACAGGCCCCACAGTTCTGCTCTGATAGACCCAGAGAATCCGGCCGGGGTGAAGACGATGCTGGAACACAGCATGTATGCCAACAAATGCCTGTGAACGTTTAACCTCATTACGACTTTTCTTCACATCGCCCATCCAGAGCTCCCCAAACTCAAGCAATGTGGCTTTAGTGCACACATGGGGTGAGCCATAGCTGTTCCACTTCACCCACTGCTGCACCAGATACTGGACAGGAACCCCACAGCTCTGGTGCTCCATGTAGGAGTATCTCAGAAGATACTCTTGAACTAGTCTGTAAGTCCCCGATTTCAACTGGAAATTGCTTTAAGTACTCAATTATAGGATGTCAGAAGTGTTCTTGTTCAAAATGGTATCACAGCACCATACAGAGAAACAAACTGTAAAGCTGTGTTACACACCTCAGCTCAGCACAGCGGCATTCAGGGTTCCCATTTCTGTACAACATTCTCTATTACTGCTGTAACAAGAACCAGCAGCTCAAAAGTGTTTTCTAAGCCCTATGTCCTGGAGTTGGCTTTGGACTTTCTCGTCACTTTTGATAAGTGCACTGTACCAACCAGCAGAGCTGGAACACAAGCAGCTCCCCATGCAAGAACTAAATAAACGATCCCAAAGGCTGCCTCAGCGCATCCTTTGCTCACACACTGACTTCTGCTCTTCTTTCCTGCTCCCCACATCCTCCTCGCATAGACCCCAGGCCTCCCCCTCCCTCCCTGCACCTCCTGCTGCTGCCTCTCCGCAGAAAAACAACATCCCCACCTCCCCGGGGCTGTGCTCCAGCCGTGGCCCTTCACACACCGCTGACACACGGCTGCAGAGCTGGTGTGCTCACATCCTGCGGGCACAGCAGCCCTGTGCAGGGCAAGGACTCCCCGGTACGTTGTTAACAGAGATGAGCGAATCCCAGGCTGTGATTGCGATGCTACTTCAGGGAAAACGCAGAGCAAAGAGAAACAAAACAAAACAAACCCCTAAATAAATACCGCGGGGAATTGAGAAAGGGAAACGTTCTTCTCATTTGTAGTTGTTCAGATCCTTTGCAATGCACTGTGCTCAGTATTTTTTTTATTCTTAGGTCTCTCTGAACACACAGGACACGCTGGTCTCGGTACAGGAAAAGCCAGCGTCTTGAGATTAGTCTTTGTGACAGCAGCTTTCTTCCTCTGCTGCAGAAAAAGAGGAAAGAGTGCTACTTGCAAACTGCTGTCACAGGAGGCCCAAGGATATCTGCGGTGGTTTAGCAACGAGCATTTATTGTAGGATGCAAGAAACCAGCCCTTCAGCCAGGAGCACTGACTGCAATGGCAGAGAAAGCACATCCCTAAAGCAGGCACCATGCAGGCACCCAGAGAGCACCAGCTCCTAGACCAACAACCAAACAAGGCAGCTTCAAAAGCACCCAAGGAATAAAAGATATGCTTGTTTACTTGTAAATCAGTCAATTATATTGCCATGGTCCCCACATGGCACCTAGCTCAGCATCACTGTGTAAGGGCTCACGTTGTCTTGGTCGATTGCTAAGAGTGCAGAACATGATGCACTCAAATTCAAAATAAAGAGGAAGACAATGAGGGTTTGCAGGAAGGCTCATAGCCAACAAGGTGTAAAACATCCCCACCAGATTATTTTTTTTTCCAACATTTCTGTCTTGGCAAAGCTATGACGCTTTTCTGAAGAAACCCTCTGTATTAAGAAATAAAAGTTGCTCTGATCCACCTGATAAGAATCATGTTCTTACGCACAAGAACTGCCTGATGCTTGTCCAAAACAGTACGTTCTCCCAGCAGATCTGTTTCACTAGCTTCCCTCGCTGCTCTTCTGCCTCAAGCCAGCAGTGTCACAGCACCCGCTGTATGCAGTGCACACACTCCTGAGGGGTGCTGTTAGCTGAGACCAATGGGACCCAGCAGGTTAAAATTAGTCAGATGAAGCAAGATGGTGTCATCACTTCATTGCCTCGCAGTTGCCAAGTTTCAGATATATCACTGTCAGTCATGAAGTACACCTAATTGAAAGCGAGGAATTTTTAAACAAATTATGTTTAAACAATTTGCACAACTACCTCTATTAGCAACTACCACTAGAAAGCTGGAAGCATTATTAAAAGCAATACCTTTCTAGTGAGAGCCACCCTACGTGCTCAAGCCCTAGAGATGGTCTGTTTGGAGACTTCCTCTCCAAGCTGAAGGATGTGACACGGCCAAAGCCAGGACAGGTGCTGGTACAACTGCCCAGAGGTGCTCAGGGCCAGGCTGGATGGGACCCTGGGCAGCCTGACCTGGTGGGGGCAACCAGCCCACAGCAGGGGTTGGAACTGGATGATCTCTAAGGTCCCCTCCTTAAGCCACTCTGAGATTCTATGATTGCAGGACAGCATGTGCCACTTGAAAATGGTTCATTTTGCTGGCAAGTGGTGAAGTAGAGATGAAAGTTATAACAGCGTACAGCACATTCACATGGAAGGCATAAGCACAAAAGCAATGAAGTATCCAAAGACTGAAAGGCATCTGGAAACAACTCAATCATCACTGTATTCTCCCAGGAAAAAGCTCTGATAAGTGCAAGTCCTGGTAGCAGCAACCTCCATGATTCCTTTATGCAATGGTGGCTGTTAAATCCACCACCGTAAGTTACCTCCTTGTTCCATTTCTTATTTATTTCAACTCCTCTGTCCACAGCCATACTCTTCTAGAGCATTTCCCTGCATGTTCTTGTGGCTGACAGTTCCCTCAGTCCAGAGAAGAGCAAAACCCACCCAGCTGCACCCATTCACCACCCTGACATGGCACTCACTGTCACCTAGAGCAATGGAGAAAAGCTACAGCAGTCCTACATCCAGTCACTGCAAGTATCGAGCTTAAATTTCTAGCACTGGAAACAATTGCTTCCTTTTATCTTGATTATAATATTCCATCCTCCCCATTACCCTGTGCATAGCAACAACACATGCTCTGTATTTCAGAGGAAGATAAAAATGAGAAGAAAAACCACAGCCATGTATCCCAGCCCACTGTGCAGAACTGCTCACAGCAGAGAAAATTCCTGCAATAAGCACTGAATGCCCTTAAAGTTAACACGAGGTTTGACTAATATTATTAGCTCAGCTTGCGCACAGGCATTTCTAAGAGCCAGCTACAACATCTGGAAGAGTTGGGTGACTATGGCAAGAAACATTTGCAAACTTCATTTGAACACTGAAGTTAAGTCTGGTCACTTCCATACCCCTTACATGACTGCTTTCTGCCAGTATTGTAGCAAATTGGTCTACTGCAATTCAAACTGTAAGATCAAGGTAAATATTCCAAAGTATTCTCTGAATAATTCTGTGGGTTTCATCCGTTACAACACACAGAATCAAATATAAGAATTGCATCAACCAGCTACAGCAAAAATACCACGCTCCTAAGCTTACAGGGCATATGCATGCATGGACAGTTTCACATTCCTAAGTGCCTTTAAAAGTTTTTACTTTAACATTAAAGCTCGCTTTTGGGCAGAAAATATACAAGCTTTCATACAGGCTTTGCCCATACAAACACATTTCAATCTCTAAGTCCTAAAACAAACAAACAGAAACACAGCACTGCAAGAAGGCTCTCACCCAGCCTTCCCCCGTGCCCCTCTACCCTCTCACTATGACCTTACACATTTAGGAAGCTGCTCTTTCATTCTGCTCTATTTTGCAAAGGCATGCATGCACTCAGAAAATAAAAGGTTGCTGTTTGTTTGTTTGCTAAGTATTAATGAAGGAATGGTAACAGACACATGACGGAGCCCAGCAAGGAGCACTGCTGCTGTCACATGCACCGTCAGAGCACAGTGAAGATACAGGGAAGACGACAAGCAGACCTTAAAAAAAAATCATAATAAAAAAAAAAACACTGCAAACACTGCAGACAGGGTTTTTGTTTTGTTTTTTTTTTTAAATATCAGCACGGGAATAACACATTTCCCTTCACTGAGATTAGATCCTGACACTCTCCTCAGTCTTGAAGACACCACGTATACATACTTCCATTCCTTCTCACTGCCTCCTTAGCCCAAGCTGCTCCTAATATCTCTTCTATCAGCTAGCATCTTCATCTGCATTATTTTAAATATCAACACATCCTCTTAACTGTGACAACCCCACCAAACGCTACAATCTCAGATGTGTCCTGACTTTTAGGTAAGCTAATCCCATTAAGAGCGAGTTCACCTACAATACCAGAACGCATTACATGCATCATCTTGTGAGAGATGAGATTACTTGAGGAAGGTATGGCCAGTAGCCAAGGCAACTGCAGATGCTACACAGGCAACAGGAGTTATGCTACTCTTCAGGTGCTGCTCCTGTCATTTCTCTAATTTTTGCCAAAGCCAACAACAACAAAAGAAACAAGAGACACTGACAAGCAGGGAGCAAGAGTGCGCAATTACAGTCTGGTAAAGGTCTGGTTTGCAATGGGTTCCACTCTACATTTCAGCGTCGCTGCAAGATTAAAGTGACAAACAGGAGGTGAAGATCCCTGGAACAGCCACGTGCCGTAGGGCTTGTCCCTTACACATCCTCACCGGCTCTGACAAAGCCTCAGCCGCGGCTCGGCGCTGCCCACAGACCCATCCGCCCGGCGCAGCGTGGGCCCGGCCGCCGCCGCCCTCAATGAGCAGCCAGGCGTAAAGCTCCTGGATTGCCACTCATCTTGTTAAGGCGAAGTCAGATGGTTTGGCCAAAAACACTATATTCCCCGATCGGAGATCAGCTTCCCCTCTACCACCCGATAACCGCTCTTAAAGGATGCATTAATGGGCTTCTGTTCACTTTGAGCCCGTTAAGCAGAGGCCAAGCTACCATAAGAGGGAATAGATTTGAGTAATGATCTCTTATGAGGCAGCAAACCTACATATAGTGTTTAAAATTATTCCCCTAGGACAAGATGTTTTTCACCAAATCTCCCACATGACAGTTTGACATATTGGTTCAGGCACATAGCTCTGCATCTGTACACACTACAGAATCATCTTTTTTCAGTTTTCAAGAAAAATAAGGTCTGAAAACATTTCGTGTCTCAGCACAGCGGACCGAGTCTCCATAGATTAATTCACTCTCCTAAAACGATGTTTTTAAACACAACCATTTCCTTTCTGTTTATAAACAAACCAACGCAGAACGGGCCAAACCTCAGACAAAGGTATTTTCTTGAGCTCGCAGTGCATTTGTTCACCAACACAAACGCGTCTCCATAAAGGCTGCACAGCTCGGCTCCCTCCCCCTCTGTCACCCCGCAGCCCTGTGCTGGGTCAGATCTGTCTCTTCTAACCTCCCATTTCTTGGGGCAGTGACTGGCGTTGGCTCTGGGCTCCGTGCAGCACCAAGCACTCTGCTGGCACTCCATGAAAAGCCTGACTTGCTCCATGTCTGAAACCTCCTTACTCTGATTTTAGCCCTTCACTTATTTTCTGTAATTGGTGCCATTTTTGAAGCCCATAAAATGCTTAAAGATACAATGCTCCACAAGATAACTAGAATTAAAGCAAAAACCAAAAGCCTACACGGTCATTAAGATGCACAGCTGGGGCCAATGACACTTAATGAGGACCACACTCGAAACAGGGAGCAGGTGATTCCCCTCTGCTGACCCAGAATGCTACGCACAGACACTCCAACTCCAGAGTACCGGTCACATCTCATTCATTAACATTTCAAGAAGTCATTTGGCTTGGTCAACCCGTAGATTTATGGCAGGGACCTGCCAGCTGAGCTACAATATAAAAGCCTTTTCTCACAAAGGAGGGAAGGCTGTTTAGTCAAAAACGTGTGCACAGCTCTGAGCACTGCCCCACAGCACCAATACATCCTGCAAGCCAGAACCAAGAACTCTGCTCGTTAAAGCCTGTGATTCTGCAGCATACAGACAAGACATTGCTCATCGAGCAGGAGAGGCAAGGCAAGAGTGGCTGCCACTGCTCGCTCGGCTGGGAGCACAGCCCACTTACCCTTAATGTTGAGTCGCTGCCCACCTCTCCATCAGACCATCAAGTCTAGCAATGTCCTCTGATTCTTAAAGCCTCTTCCTGCATAGGCAGCATGATTAATTGGAGGTGCCTGCAACTCTAAAGGGAGCATGTATCAGACCATGCTGCGAAGATGTTTATTTTGCTTTAAGTGGTCTCAGAGCTGGCATGGAGCTGTATCAGCGCTCACTGCTCGCACAGAATTTAGATAACAGGAGACACAGAGTACCTGCTGTGAATACATATTGGTCTTTTTTCCTGCCCTAGCCTCCTTTCACACAGATTTTCACCAATGGAAGGATGAGCGTACCACAACATGGCGGCAACCCAAATCCTGCATTAAGGAAGGGTTTGCTGTTACTCCCCTCCCTGATGGCTGTAGGATTCCAAACAAACCACAGATTCCTCCCCCGAAGCCCCAACACCTAGCTAGGGATGGATACCACTTCAAGTACACTGACTGCAGACACGTGCCAGTGTCTGGAAAAACTGGTAAAAACATCACCAAGTAGAAAAAAATACTAACCCAATCAGTGGAAATGGAAGCACTCATTTTATGCACAGCATGACCCTGAAGACAGAGAACAAATGACATATGGATGAGGAGAAAGACATCACAGCTCAAAAAACATGTGCTCTCTCTACCCAGCTGGAAGAGGAGGAGGAAGGAGGGAAAAAAAAACAGAATTTCCCTGTAGGAGAGCAACTTGCTGTCTGTGGTTTTACAGGAAAGTATGAAACTGTCTACACCTATTTATTTATCTGGAAGCTATTGTTAAATTAGTTATTTCCAACTATAGCTCTCTGAGAAGAAATACAAGCTCTGTATCAAGCGTGGGGAAGCCAGACGTTCTGGAGAGAATACATAGAACACCTTGGGATAATACCAGCTTCTGTTCCCTATCGTATGGCACGGGTGGGAAGGAGGGACAGGAGTACAGTTCACTGTTTTTAACTCATATCCTTCCTCTATTTTGGCTGTCCCCAGTTCCTGTTTTCAGTTTAACACATTCATGCTCATGCTGGCTTCACTGCAAAACAAGCAAACCACACAGGGGAAGTTAAGCCCCCCATTTTGAAGGCTGCTGAAGGGGATTTTAGCTCATGTGTAATAAAAGCCCATTCTTGCAAACTAGACCCCATCAGGAGCCGTGGTGTTGCAGTACTGCTTTCTGCAAGGTTCATCCTGCCTTCCCCAGGGCAGACAAACCACTGATATGTAGCAGCGAGTGAAAGCTGAGCTGTGACAGCCAAACTTTCACCTGTGGCCCACGCTCATCCAACTGTACGGCTTCTGAACAACTGGTCCATCTCCCAGCTCTGCAATGCCGTGCTCTCCTCAGCCCTGCATGGTATGAGAAGCTAAAAAAAGCAAAGCAAACCAACTGCCACCAGCAGTCAAACCTTTCCTGCGCAGTTCCAAGAGAAAACAAGTGGAAGTCATGAAATTGCAACATGGCCCATCGCAGCTGATTCAGCTCTCCTGATGTTTCCATGCTACCATTTGGAGGCCAGTGAATCCACTGGGAGTTCTGGATTGTTTACTGTGGCCTGAACTGATGACAAAGCAGAAAGTCACCCTGCCTTTCCCTCCTGGTTCGTAATGCCAGCAGAGGCTTTGTGACTCATTTTGAGGAGGTACGGATAACGTAGCGCATTTGTGAGAAAGCAGATTCTGTTCTCTAAGCCAATAAAACACTTGCTGGTCAGGAAAGACTGCCAGAAGAGACTCCAAGGCTCATCTGGGTGAATACCTGACAGGTACCAGTGCACTCTGCACCCCTTCTGGCAAGCAAACTTTCAGTAAAGTCACGCTTTCCAAGGTGCCCAGCAACTGTCAGTGACGTGGCTCCACACTTGGCACTTGGGACCAAAAAAGCTCAGCAATAAAACAGAAACCTGTACACGGTTCTCAATGATAGCTGCCAGAAAAGGCAACCATACCTTGCACTTCTGTTCAGCTCAGAAAGGACCCAATGGCTTAAATCCTCCTTCCTGCCCATTACGCTTACATTAGACCCAGTATTAGGAAAACAGATTATGAACAGCTTCTCTGAATGCTCACTCCAAAGGACGGCAGCTTTTTCAGCCATGTCTCTCTCCACCTCTGCATCCCATATGCAACACGAAGAGGAGAACTGCACAGTAGGAGTGAATATTGGCTGACTGATCCCATGTTTTCTCTGCTGTTGGCGTACATCACTCACTTACACTAACTAAATGCTCTGAGCCTATTTTCACCAAAGATGACAACCCACACGTCCATGACGAGCAAGGGAACACTGGATCTTGCATCCACTACTTTCAAACATATTTCACATGCAGGCAAATTATCACACGGCAGCTTTACGCACAGCTCAGACCACGTGAAATCCATCTCTTGAGAGTCAGAACGCAGGAGCTAATAAAAGGGTTTTCTTAAAATATGGATTTCAAAATGGAATTTTCTGCCCACACTGCAGTCAGATGGAATTGTTCCACGTGCACTCCTAACTAAACCCAACTCCTGGATGTTGTTTAGTATTACTTCAGGACAGACCCAAACTGAAATAAACTCTACCTAAATGTTCTGCCTTAATTGCCAGGGTGGCCATTTAACAAGGAATTGAGAGAATGAACGGTGACTAACGGCTTCGGCCCTGCACAGCACAACTGGCCACCAGCAGCCAAAGCCCTGGGGAGCTGGTCACAGAAATGCTCTGAACTCTCACCAAGTGCTGACTCAGCCTATGGCCTGAAATCAGGTTTTACCGACCTGCAAGTTGCTTCTTCCCCCATTACAAATGGGCTTCTCAAAGCACGTTAATTGACAAGAAATAGCTCAGAGTTGGGTCTGCTGGCTGCACCATCACCACTGACTTGAATCTTAGCCAGAGGATGGTAACAGAATGAGCAATATTTACTTTAACAGCCAACTCATTCTAAACCAGTCCTACCGTTGGAGCAAGCTTTGCTGCAGCTCATTTCTTCTTGAGGACACTCAGGTCAGAAGTGGTCACATCACTTTCAGACCAATGTAAGTTTCAATACACAGAACAGGCCTGCAAACATAGCATTAAAATGCCCACTGGCATAGCGTGGAAAGTGGGTGTATTAATGGAGTTTGTAAAGGCAATGAATAGATGGTGATTATGCACAGAGTGAAACAGAGGAAGAAACATGTAAATTCCAGCTTTCCCTCATCAGATTTGTGCAAGAGTCTACATAATTGCTGAGGAAAAAAAATAGAAACAACAACACTAAGTAGGATATTTAAGCCCTGCGAATTATACATGGAAATCTCTGTTTTCCTTAAATGAAAGCAGAATGAAAGAAGAAGATTCCCTTCAAAGAACTTTGTTTGTGGTCGTTTAGTTTCAGGATGCAAATTAAATGAGTACTTGTTAGCCTACTGGAAAAAAAAAAAAGAAAAAGAATTTGTCTCTGAAATATTATCAATCTCTCATGAGCAGAAGGTTTGGATACAGTTGGTTGAAGCCTGACGTATGTAGTCATCTTGTTCCCAAAGAAATCAATAGGAGCAGCATCCTCATATCCTAAAGTCACAGCTGCATCCAGCTTAGCTGCCGGGGCAGGAGGACCTCAAGCCCTCCGGCTGCTGAAAGTTCATCCATCAGTTCCTCCCATCTTCTCCCCAGTTCTGCCTGCATCTCATGCAAGTGCTTCTGCCGTATCTATAATTCACAATTACGAGCCCATAATACAAAACTGCCACAGGCAAAGTCAATCACTCCCAGGGGTCTCACTCATCTGAGGCTCTTGCACACCAAGAAGTGGTGATAACGTACATTAACACTCTGGGTTAAGCCACGTGAGCTCAAGAATATTTGTGAAAATACAGCTGCAGTTTACCAAAAGCTTACAGTAAGGTAGAATAAACAGCATCCAGGATCTTTAGCTATTTCATCCAATTTGTTTAGAGCATTAGCTTGAAATACATCTCATTGCCCTTCAGGATACCTCCAATTGCAGTTTGTTGGTCTTGGAAGTAGTGGCTTATACGAGAAGACCCTAGGAAATGGCTTCACTAAAATCAAAAGGAATTTCAAGGAAAAAAAAAAAAGGAGATCAGAAACTTAAGAACAAAGCCTGTGTGTCATCCTAAGAACCTGCAGAGGGACATGCTGGAGATGAAGGCTCCTTGGTCAACCCCAGTGAACACGTAAGGCATGGAAGTACCACTCTAAAACCAATGGTTTTCCAATTGTGATTTGCAAACTCCAGTAATTTGTGAACAATTTCTAAAAAGTTTAAGAAAAGTAACAGGAAAAAAAAGCAGACATCAGAAAGCTTGAATGTGTTCAACAAAGGCCAAAATCTCTGCTGGAAAACATTCAGGCATTTGTAAATCAGACTGATACCTGATGCTGGGGTTGTGAAATGCACTGCTAGGTCCTTCCTGCAATAGAAAAATCTCAAATTCTGGTATACCCCAAATTTGATTTTGGTTGCAAAAAGAGATGGAAACGTTGTTGCCAAATAATAGATTTGGTGCATTCAGAAATATCCCACAAAACAGCAGAAAGGTATGTTGATTCAGCTGGAGGTCATACAGCTGACTGAGGACCAGGGCCTGGTTGAACAGCATGTTATAAAGTTAACTTTATCTGGAGGAAAAACAAAAAATAGATCATCAGATAGAAGAAACACACAGCCATGTGAAGAATGGCAGTGAGGGAAATATGCCTTAAAAACAAAAAAAACCCACCCAAAATACCAAAAACCACAACACAAAGAAACCTGGCTTACTTAGGTAAGTCTCTAAGTGCTACTATTAGGATGAGCTCATCTTTATCTTCCAGTTGTCACATCATCATGAAGAGTCTTCATGAAATTCTCAGAATAGCAGCAAATCAGGAGCAAATAGCTGTTGGAGGAACAAAGTCCTGAAAAGACAGACTTTCACTGCTTTTTCACTGAAAATTAACTCTAAAGTTTCAAAGACCTGTAACAGAACGGGCTGGTAACACAGTGCTGACATCATCTCATCTCCAAACCTAAAGCTAGAAGTATGGGCCCATATTTCCTTTCTAGCCGCATGCTCGTGTGATTTATGAACCACAACAATTTCAATATCATTGGAAAATGGAACGATGACAGACAATTAACTTCCCACTCCATGTTAGCAGCTGCGTAGGCTCTGCTTTGGAGCAATCAGGGACAAGAACTCCAGAAGTGCCAACTTCCACTTAGTGATTGTGCAGGAAGAGCAGGGACAAGGGACAGGACGGAGCAGCACCAAACCACACAAGTGCTGACACACTAAATCAAGATGCATACCTCATGGCAACGGGTAATCTGTATAGGATTAGCAGATGACAAATTACAGTTCACTTCTGTCCCATACGCATCTGCACCTATTTGTTAAAACTGCTGTTAATCTGAGTGTGATGACAGAAGGAGCAGCACCATAGAAAGGCACTATGAAGGAAGAGAAGATTGCTCACCTGGATCAGAAGATCACAGGTTCACAAGAGAAAGCTCCACCAAGGAGGGACCTCCAGAAAGAGATCCTTCCCCAGTGGCAGTCAGCCCTTAAATGAGGTCTAAGAGGTGCAGCCAGGCTGCTCCCCGTCTGATCACACACACAAACTGCCTTCACCTGTGCTCCCAGGGCTGACCAGCTCCTTTCCCCAGGTGCTCAATCAGTGCTTCAGGCCGGGACTCAACAGCTCCCATGCAGTATACACAATACACAATCCCTGAAATTTATTTCAGGATCTCTAACTGGGGCTAATCCGGGATCCATTATCACAGAGATAACCAGATATCCTGACATTAGAAGGACTATACTAACTGCACAGCTCTTCCTTTTACTTGCATTACAGAAGCACAGCCATCCCACCAGAAGGGAGGTCCCAAGTTTCCCTCACCCCCACTACCCAGAAGAAAACCCTCCAGGCTCAGTCACTCTCTCTCCCCAAGGCTCAGCCAAGCAGCACTTTTCAACTGAGTTAACAAAGGAGTGGTAGAGGAAGATAAGTTTAAAGCAGATACAGTATGCAAATAGCATGAAGTGATACAAGCACAGAATGCACACGTAGAGAAAGCAGTGTTTCAGTGCTGTTTCACCCATACTTGCTGAGCTGCAGACCTGCAGCACAAGCAGTGAAGGACACAACAGACACATCCCTCAGCCTGGCGTGCTCCAGGCATGGCAGGAGCTGGCCAGAGATAAATGCTAGCACAAATGGCCTCATTCTTCCAGACACAAATGATAGTGTTACTTAACTCATGTAAGCTAAAACAGGGGAATTTGCTGTGGACAACTCTTTACACCTATAAAAAGTAATTAAGGAGCATAGAACCATTTTCTGGGTGCGTGCTAATTAGATAACAGCAAACAACCTTCCCGTGCACATGGTCTGCAAGAAATGCAAAGCTTAGAGACACTGTAAGAGGCCAAGATCCCTTTGTGAGAGGATTCTGCTCACAACTCCAGCACTCATGGGCTGGGTGCTCCCACACTACACACCTTGCACATCCTGCTCGCTCTAGGGAGGCCCACTGCCTCAACATATGCAAGCTCCAAAGAAACACACTGCTACAGAAATAAAGCCAGAAATGAAGGCACTGCTGTGCAACAGCGTAAGGACCACCTCTAGTCTTTGTAACTATCTCAAGAAGGGCACTGCTTGTACTCTGTTGCACTGCAAGATTTTAAGCACCTCAGTTTACTGCCATAAGGCAACTAATAATCTCCACCTCACAGCTGACTCACACATTCCATTTGCACAGGCAGGGTGAGATGCAGGTGGTGCCACATGAGTCACACCACCAAAACCCTCATCCAGCTTCGCCACAAGCCAGGGCCGCTGTGTGTTTAGCACACTGCACTACATGCATCTCAAAGCATGTGAGACACTAGGTTAATTGGCCAATGTCAGAACTGGTTATTCTGAAGGTAAGAGCATCCAGATTGTGTTTTAGACGTCTTTCGAGTGGCAAGCTCCAAGCCATGCCGCTAACCAAAAATGTGTCTTCAAACAGAAGCATCGCGCCCTCGTGGATGAATGCTTTGCTTCCTGCAAAATGCGCTGAGAAAGAGGTACCCATAGCAGCATTGCAATAAATTATTCCATCCTCCATCCTTCCCAGAGGTTGTATCCATGCAGCCTCATCTTCCAGATGCGCAGCTGCCAAGGCAGATGAAATTTTAAGCCTGCTGGTCTTAGATAAGAGGGTGAATGAAATGAAAGCAGTAGCACCCATCACCAATTAGACTACGAGGACATATGCACGACAGAAACCGAACCCAATCTCTTCATGTGTCCATCTTGATCCATATTCCTCAGGCCAGCAGCAGAAAGGCAGCTGTGCTGGAAAGAGTTAACCTTGCCTGGAACATATCTCAGATTTCTCAGAAAGTCAAAGACTGCAGCTGAAGCCGGGCTGACTGCTCCCCTGCCTGCCTGCAGCCTGACCCCTGACATTTCCACTCTGCTTCTCACTGGCACAGAAAACTTAACCATACACAAACAAACAGGTTGGGAGGACAGATAAATGGAACGCAGGAGGAGGAGAAAGGAAAGATTTCTCGGATTTCTTTTAATAGCTGTGATTAAATAATAACAGCCACCACCAGACCTGGGTGAGGGGCTGGCATTTATCAGTAAAACCCTCAAGTCTACGGCAAGACATCTCTGTTTAATTAATCCTGAAAGGATCCCTTCCCCCTTCCCCTTCGTAGGGAGGTTTGAGGATCCACACGTTTAAAGATACAGTGAGTCCTTTTTAGGCCTTTTCTTACAGAACACAAGGGAACAAAGCGCCCGTTCAAAAACACAGCTAGGATTTACAAACTCTACTGCAAAGAATTCTATCAAATGAAACGAAACTGGCAAACCTTAACGGAGGGGTTAGCTTTTGAATTAGTTGTATTTAACCCTCTGAAGCACTACACACATGAAGCCATGCGTTTTTACAACACCCTGCTGTGAGCGTGCATGGGAGGATCACAGACAGGCCCGCAGCCACCAGGGCTTTGGATCGGCCATCACTGTTAGAGCAGAACCACCTTCCAAGGGTGGGATCCGTTCGGTGCTTGTTGCAGCCCCACCGCCCCGTCGTCATCCTGCTTTCCCATCGCCGCACTGGCATCAGCATCACGGTGGAAGAGCATTCGCATGCACACAGACCACAATTTTATCCACGCACAGCCAAAACGCAGGACCCCATCTCCTGTCTGCGCGCCTTCATTTTGCGCTGGGAGGCCCTTCTGGAGAGCCACTGCCTCAGCAAGCCCCTGCCCTTTGATTCTATCCGCGGGGAGCAGGGCAGGCAGCGTCTAGCAGCGGCGCGCTCAGCCCCGAGGCCAGACAGACACCTTGAAACCAAGCAAGCAAAGCAACCAACCCACTCTTAGCTCGCTGGAGCGTTGCAGTTGGAGCCGTGCCTCCAGCACTCCCGCGCTGCATCCTCCCAGCCCGGCACACAGCGGGGCAGCGATGCTGAACGCGGAGCCGCGCGGCAGCTCCCAGCACAGCACCGAGCTCCTCCTGCTTCTGAACGGGTTGTCACTTTCACACGTATTCTTTGCAAGCTGGCCGTCAGCATTCATCCTTTCCTCTTTTTCCTGCTTCTCAATAACCATCAAGATGAGTGTTAGTGCCTTTTTCACCTCCCATCCTCCCCCCATTTAAATCTCCAACACGACTTTTCTGAGGCTTGCCCGGCTTCAGAGAAAAGCAGTTCAGAAAATGGAAAACTGTTGTGTTCCACATTCGTTCAGTAACACAGTAAGCACGATCTGCTTTTCTAAACCCATTTTTTCGTTCTCGTTTTTTTCCCCAAAACTTTCCAGAAGCTGAATAAACTGGTGGTGGAATTACAGATATTTATGTATTCTTATACAGATATATATTTATACAGACATTTGTGTGTAGCGTAAATTGCCAAAGCAGCAAAGGGAAAGGAGGAGAAAATTCTGAAATAATGATTTCTGATACAATCAAAAGTGAGAAGTGGGAGAAAGGGTTATTTTCAAAGCACACATTCTAACTTTGGAAGGAAGTTATATATTCTGTAGGACTTAAAGAAAAAAAAAAAATCCCAGGAAAATATAAAATCAAAACCTGTGATTTTTTTGACTATCTATATTCTTTAATACGTTTTCTTTCTTAGAGAAGCACCAGCATGGGGAAGGAACTGTGATGAAGTGCAAAACATCTCCATGTATCCACACACCAAAAAATGGTTATGCAATGACAAGAGACAATTCGGTATATAATCAAAGACAGAATCCTGACGTTCAAAGAGAAAATGACTGTAACAGCAGTGACTTTGAAAATGAGAAGGGTATTTTTAATAGAAACAATGGCCATCAAGATTTTTCCTGTAACAACCAATGCTTAAATGCATAACTTAGTATGCAGCGTGCCTGCCAGGTATAATTAGTACCAAAAAAAAAAAGAAAAAAGAAAAAAAGAAAGACAAAAAGTGATGCATAAGAAATTCATACTTACAGTGGAACAGAGCAGCATTCTGTAAATGGTTAACCATTCACCAAAGGGCAGCAAACCCTTCTGATGACAGACACGTTACTCCTAGGGCACCACAACCAGCCAACAGAGAAGCCTCAGCGCAGCCCACGGCTTGGCCAGTTCCATTTCATTTTCCTTGTAAGACACCAAGTTGCTAACAATAAGATGGCTGCACGACACCCAGACACCCAGGTTTAACACTATTTTTTCACCTCGGGAGCAGGGGCAGAGGCAGTGCTGCAGTGCTGTTTGGTGCACGGCAGATAATCAGGACCTCTGTATTTGCATGTGGTTCTGCCCTGCAGCAAAACAGGGCCTCCGAATCCATCAGGAATCCAGAGCACTTCTGTGCAATAACAAAAAATAGTGCTGGGTGTAACAGTATGCACTCCATATGTTCAACTACCAGAAATGAGAAAGCACACCGGCTATTCAACAATATTTGTCCCCAAGAACCACTTTGTGCAATCACGTTTGTGGCTTTTTCAGCATTTCCTTTTATACATAAACTTATAGAGCCAATGCTCCACCAGCACAAAACTCACACGTTACAAACAGCTACACCGAAATACTTCAATGTTCAGAAGTTTTGCTTCCAGGGAATGGGATATTTGGCTATAAGAGCCACGATTTGCAATACTGGCTGAGCTACTGTGATTCACAAAAAAGTGAATCACGAAAAGAGAAATTTTGTAACTGAAGGGAGAGCTGTTATGTAAGCCCCGAAATAAGGACTGTAGTATTTATCTTTTCTTTGATCAGAAGATTATCAGAAGACTGGTGAGACTAAAAATACGCCTTTCCAAACCAGAATTCATACTAAGCACAGTGTTAGTTAGGAGAAAGCCAGAAAGGAAACAAAACAGTGCTAAATCACATCGGTAACACACCGACGTGCACTGAAAATCACAGAGGCTTCCAACTTGGAGTGTACAAACCGGTCACTATTTGCTGGGAAAGTCTGAGAAAACATTTTGAATAACGAACTGAAGAATTTTGTGATCACCTCCCAGAAGTTTGCACATCACTGGGAGCAGAAGAACCTATGGATGCAGTTTGTTTCTGCGTGGACACGATGTGTGA